CGAATGGGCCAAACTCAAAGGCCCAGGATAACCACAGGGTCGTTCAGTTGGGGCCTGTGGGGCGGGGCTCGGTGCCTCCTGTCAGAGGCCCCGCCACGTACCGTCCCGGGGCCACTCGGGGTTGCAGGTCGCCTGACGAGTCCCTCTGCCATTCCAGCCATCACCATCGGCCGCCTGGGCTACGTGTGCCCACAGGAGGTGGCACCCATGCTGCAGCAGTTCATCCGGCCTTGGTGTGTGCCTGCCTGGGTGGGGCCTGCTGGGGGTGGGCAGAACAGCTGTGCTTCCCAGCGCCACCCCCATGGATGCATGTGGGAGACCTCTACCTACGGATACCCCCCTCCCTGTTCCCTCCAGCTATCCTTCATCTATGCTTGTCTAGCCCCAAGTCTATCCACTGACATGCTGCCCTCCTCCATGGCCAGGTGCACGTCCCTTAGGAACATCCGGGACAACGAGGAGAAGGATTCTGCCTTCCGAGGCATCTGCATGATGATTGGTGTCAATCCTGGGGGTGTTGTGCAGGTCCGCGCAGCGGGGCACAGAGGGCAGGGCGGGGGCTGGCTTGGGCAGCCCCTCACATGGGATCCGTCATATTTCAGGACTTTATTTTCTTCTGTGATGCTGTAGCCTCCTGGGTGAGCCCGAAGGATGACCTTCGGGACATGTTTTATAAGGTAAGGCTCCTGTTGGTCCATGGAAGTCCTGGGGAGTAGACACCATTGGCTTGTTCCAGCCCATAGTCAATCCTGCCTCTCTGCAGATCCTCCATGGCTTCAAAGACCAAGTCGGGGAGGAAAACTGGCAACAGTTCTCAGAGCAGTTTCCACCACTGCTCAAGGAGAGGCTAGCAGCCTTCTATGGGGTCTAAGTGAACGTGGAGACCACCAGGTGAGCGGGTCTTTCAGTACTCAGGCTTATTACAAAGTGAAAAGGATGAAGGCCCTGACCGTCCCTTTCCCCTGCAGGTTTCTGTCTGCGTCATCGTCGGAGGGTGTGCTGGGGAATGTGCTGCTTCCAGAAGTCACTGTGCCCTGGTCCAGGGGGGTTAGGGAGGAGTGAGTGGGACCTAAATCCAGATGCTGCCTAGCTGTGCATCTGTCCATCTGTCGGTCCACTTGCCCCACCAGGCCTGACGAGTGGGCAGGTGGGTGGGGACTCCATGCTCATCCTACAGATAGGGAGGGGGGTGGGACTTCTTGGTGGGCAAGAGTTCTCTGGGCTCTAATCTGGGTCATCTCAGGCAGCCCATTTGGGTCAGCCATGTGGGAGGGAGGAATCCTAAGGCCTACCGAATCCGGTGTCAGATAAGGCAAGGGAATTACAGGTGGGGAGGGGGGTTCCTTGTAGAGAAGCATACACTCACATGTACACATGTGGACACACGCATGTGCGGGCACCGCAGCCAGCTAGGCTGGGCCAGCCGCCCCACCATTTCCTTGACTGCATGGAGACAGTAGAATTAGTGAACCCCCAAATTATGCCTATGGCCTTCTGTGTACCTTGCATCTAGAGTATAAGAAGCTTCTGCTGTTTTGCCGGAATTGGCAGTGATTGGGAGGGCTGGGAGGTTTGGGGGGACCTCAGCTGGGCCCCCAGGGCCAAGGGAGGAGGGCGGTCACTTTGGGACTGACCTCTCAGCACTTGCACACTTTGAACCTGCTCCACACACTTCCTGCCAGCTTCACGGCAGCCTCTGTTAGTGTGTCCCCATCTTTGTGACATCCCAGCCAGCGGCAGAGTGGGGACCATTGGAGCATCTGGGACTGGCATGAGGCTACCCTCTACACTTTTCCTGTTCTCCAAAGGCATTGAAAGCACGGGCCTGGACTAGTTTTCCTTAAGAGAGCTTAAGGGCAGCCAGAGCTGCCAGCATGATTACCTGGGCCTCTCTTGAAACAGCTTCAAGGATAGTCCAGTTCTCTGCTCCTGAGAACTCCCTTCTCAAGAGCTGGGGCAACAGCGTGTGATTGGTGAGGACAAAGGACAAAGGTTTACTGGGTCCAGCAAGATCTGAAGGCTTGGGGGAGCAGGGTATACCCAGGGCCTCCAACTTTGTTCCTTTTGGGACTTAATGCTCATCACAGTGTCCACTGGACTCAGAATTCCCCCCCACCAGATTGGTATACTGACTCCAAAAATCCTTGAAGAAATTGGTGGGGGAATGCCATCAAGGTGGGAGGGGCTTCCTGAGAGGAGGGGGGCATGAATATTTCCAAATTGGCTGTGGAAATCAGCCTTGCAGATCCCTGAATGTTTTTCCTCCATTCCCTTCCTTGCTTCCTACTACTTTGGGAGCCCATTATATTTTGGGCTTTGACCAGAGTTCTGCATCTTAGGACCTGCTCCATCATCCCTCTAAGAACCTGTTATCCCATCTAGGCCATGTGTCTTCTCTTAAGCAGGGTCAGGCCCTGCCTCTATTCCCAGGGACACTTAGTGCACATTCCATAACTCAGCTAGTGGTCCCTATCCCCTCCAGCCTCAAACTTGAGCAGGTCTCTGGAAGCCATTTGTAGGGGAAAAAATTTTTTTTAAAGAAAAATACCATTAGCTTTCTGGTAATTCCACTTCTTTGGAGCATCCTCTGCTGGGTCTTGGGGTGTATTGATGGATTGACTATCTAATGGAGTTGTGACCCCCCTCTGCCCAAGGTGGGAGTTCCAACTGTCTTCAGGAGAGGGGAGCCCAATTCTTGTGTTTTCCTTTTTTTTTTTAATTTTATTATTTTTTTAAAAAATATTTAATTTTTTAATTTATTTTTTAGTTGGTTTTTGCACAATGAAGTTTCAGTTTCTTAACCTTCCTTGCCCAGGGCTGCGGACACAGACTGACCTTGATCTGCAGCTCCTTCCCCAGCCCCCCATTTTCCTGAGTCTTTTTACCATTCCCCTGTGGGCTCCCAGGTCTATCCATCTGTAACTGTGCTGTGCTGGGGACTGGCGCCTAGGTGGCGTGAGCTTCCACTTGTGTAGAACTTTGTTGAGTAAAGGTCAGTTTCTTGTGAAAGTCTTGGTGTCTGGTTTCCTCGTCCTTGACTTGGGTGGTGGAGTGGTGTGGAGGTGGGCTTTTCTGTGGCTCCAGTGCTATGGGAGTGCTGACAGAATCCGCCGGCTCCGAGGAACGAGGCAGAGAAGATAGAGCAGGAGCAGGACGCAGGGTGAGCTGAGATGCACAGCTGCTCCTGGTGGGCTGCCTGATTGAGGCAGGAGGATAGCAAATTTGAAATCAGTCTGGGTTGATTGAGACATTGATTCAAAAAAGGGAGCTATAATTCCATTCATAAAATCAAACTGAGAAGGCTAGTAGCTAGCTTAGATTGATACATAAAGTCTTACTTTTAATTCCCAGAACTTGAAAAGTAAAATTGAGGGTCCAAGGAAACCTATTTTCATCTTTGTTATGTGGGAAGGTGAGTGTGAAAGAGGTGTGCACAGAAATTGTGCAAGCTGTTTTCCAAGATTAATGTATGGCAGCCTTTCATTGGTTTGTTGAACATAATTGTAAGGCCTTATAACAGACACAACTTTAGGTCACTGGGCAGGCTAGAAATTCTTGGAAATATTAAATAGAAATAGCTGTCTGGGTGGTTGTGGGTCATGCTTTTAATGCCAGCACTTGGTATGCAGAGGCAGAAGGATCTCTGAGTTCAAGGCCAACCTGGTCTATAGGGTGAGTTTCTGAATGTGATAGTGTACACTTGGAATGACTTCCAAGGAGTCATTCAGCTCCTTGGAAGACTGAAGAAGAAGGACTAAATCGAGACCAGTGTGACGTTCTCAGAAGAAAAACCTTTTATGCAGATATGTTTGTTGGCTCACATCTTAAATGCCAGCATTTGGAAGTCAGAAGCAGACAGATTTCTTGAGTTGGAGGCTAGCCTGGTCTATATAATGTTGAGTTTGAGACCAGATGGGGCTCCCCATAAGTGAGGTCCTTAAAATTTAAAGAAAAAAAAAACTTACGTGTTAGGTTCTACGTGGCCAATTTGGAATTGTGTTTGTGGGGAGCTATGTACTGTAGATGTAAACTTGTTCTGGCTCCCATTAGACCTTAACCATTTATTGCTCCGCCTGTGTCTGACCTAATGCTATTTGGAGCAACCTGAGTTCCTGGGCCATGATCATTCAACCCAAAATAAACTCTTATCTCTTGGAGTTTGATGAAGTGCTTGCTGTGCATGGTTGAGAACCTAAGTTAGGATTCCCAACACCCACATAAATGTTGGGGGCAGGAGGAACGGAGGAGCAGAAACAGATGGATTCCTAAAGTTCACTGGTTGGCTAAGCCAGCTTAGCTGAAATGATGAGCAGTGAAAGACCTGTTTCAAGATACATGACGGGGCTGAGAGGATCGGCTCAGCACATAAAGACATTTGCTGCCTGGTTTGATTCCCTCCAGAAGCCACCTACAAGTGAAGGGGAACTGACTCGACAGAGTTGCTGTCTGACCAGTCCATGTATGCTGTGGCACATTGAAACACAACACCTCACACAATAAAATTGAGGATAATAAAACATGTAGATCATCGAAGAAGACACCTTCCCCCTCCCATCTCGACCTCAGATGGATACAAAGCATCTCCTGTGCTGGGCTGGAGTGGTAGGTGGTCCACTGTAGTTAAGAGAACTTTAGGCTAGGTGTGGCGCACGCCTTTAGCCGCAGCACTCGGGAAGCAGAGGCAGACGGGTTCACCGAATTCGAGGCCATCCTGGGTTACGTGGTGAAACCATGTCTAAAACAAAGGTGTTTCCAGCACCCACACCAGGCGAATGCAGCCCTTAACTCTAGCTTCAAGGGATCCCAAACACATAAAAGTAAAAATGAATCCTTAAAAACAAAACCAAAAAAAACTTCCTTTGAAATGTCAGTCGCGAATGGTTTAAAAAAAGCGACCAGCTTGCAGTTTAAACATCAGGTTTATTCGCTAGTAACTCGCGGCCAGTGATTTCTGACGTCATCTAAAAACGCCGGAAATGATCTCGTGCTGCCTAGGAAACAGGACGCGGCCCAGTAATAGCTAAACCTGGGGCAGCCGCACCCACCCGGTCGCCATGGAGCTTCCCTCGGGGCGGTGTGGGGATCCTCGCTCCTGTGACGAAGAGTCGGACCCCGAGCCAGACCCGGACCCTGACGCTCAGGCTGAGGCCTACGTAGCCCGTGTTCTCACCCCACCCAAACCTGGCCTGACCCCGCGGCGCTCGTCGCTGAAGTCCACGCTCTCCGCGTCCCTGGGCGCGCCGGAGCGAAAGGCTGCCCCCAGAGTCCCGGCCGTGCGCCTGCCGGGCCTACTGAGCCTTCCCCCGGAGCTGCTGCTGGAGATCTGCGCCTACCTGGATGCACGGGTCGTGCTCCACGTCCTGCCGTGCGTGTGCCAAGCACTCAACGACCTTGTGCGTGATCATGTCACCTGGAGGCTACGCGCTCAGCGCCGCGTACGCGCACCCTACCCAGTGGTGGAAGGTACGCACACCCGGGGGAACAGGAACTTCTGCCCAGGTCAGGCTTGAGCAAAAGAGAGAGGTACCTGGTCTGCGGGTGCATACTGCTTCTGGAGCAGGCTTCCAGGTTGTCCCAGCTCTGACTGGAGGCAAAGGAAATTTCTAGGTGTTGCCTAATCCTTAATCGACCACAAGGCAGATACTTGACTTCCTCAGGCAGAGCTCTGAACCTGGGATCTCTAAACTTACAATTCAGAGATTTTCCCGGTTTGGGCTTTGTTAGCACTAAGGTCCCTAGCCCTGATGTGGATAACTCTAGGACTTTTTAGATTGTACCTGGAGTGAAAATAGGTCCAAAAAAGTCCTCAGGCTCTGGATACAGAATCGGCAACTGCCTTAACAAAGCCCCTGACCCCTGGAGTGTTGATCCAGGATAGGTGAAGCAGAGGTTCTGTATCTCTAGACTCCTAAACCTGAACTAGCCTTGGGACTTAGGAGCTGGGATCACTGATACCAGCAATCGTTGATACCTGGGTCTAGCCTGTCATCTCTTCTGTTTTATTTATTTTTTTATTTATTTTGAGATAGGTTTTTTTTTTAAATATTTATTTATTTTGTATACAATATTCTGTCTGTGTGTATGACTGCAGGCCAGAAGAGGGCACCAGATCTCATTCCAGATGGTTGTGAGCCACCATGTGGTTGCTGGGAATTGAACTCAGGACCTTTGGAAGAGCAGGCAATGCTCTTAACCTCTGAGCCATCTCTCCAGCTCCCGAGATAGGTTTTTATGTAGCCCAGGGTTCCCTCGTCCTCCCGATCCTCTCTCTTTGGTCTTAGATGCCACGAGCTAGCTGTCACTTTTGCAGAGCAGGTGTTATTCATTCTGCCCTTGAGTTCATTGGTCTGTGGAGGAAAAGAAAACTCGAAGTTGATCGTTTTGAGTTTTTGTTGTTTTGCTTTTTTAAGGTTGTACGTATGGAACCCAGAACTTTGGGTGTGCTGGGCAAATGCGTTATTTTACCACAGTTTACATTCTCAGCAAGACTTTGAGATATTGTAAATCCTGATGTTCCTGGATCCTTAGGCTCTTGAGACAGACATGGAAAGCTGAATAGTTGATTCCCCTGACCCGGAAGAGTTTGATTCTGCAGACTTCTGGGTTAGGGAATTGACTTCCAACCCCTAGGAATTGACCTCCAACCCCCAGTCAGATTTCCAAACAGCTTTTTGATAAACATGTTTTCCGATTGAAAAAAAAAACAAACAAAAAACATGTGCTTGAACCTCATCCAAATGATTGAATGGGTTGACCTGGGGTTTAGATTTTGTCTTGGGAGGGAGGGGGAATGACTAGGGATAAAGCCAAGGCCCTGTGCTTCCTAGGTAAGTTCTCGACTACCAAGCCACACTTTCCTTTCGTTGGCTTCTGTGTCTTGTGACTTCCTGGTTTACAGTTAGAAATTTAAGGGGCAGTCAGGGTTCCCTACCCTATAGGAAGTCCAAGGTCCTCCCTGCTTCCCCCAGGTCCAGGAAGGTGAGCATCCAAACAGATTTGGCTCCCACAAAGCTCTAGGGGGAGTAGGAGGGGGAGTAGGGGGAGGGGAGGGAAGTGGGAAGAGGGAAGGAGATGGAAATTTGCAATAAAAATAAATAAATTTAAAAAAGAATTATTGACATCAAGTTATTAAAATAACTGGAAAAAAAAGAAATTTAAGAACTGTGTCCTTAGGTCTGGGTTAGGGGCTAAGGCCAGAATGCTTGGTTAGTCGTGAGGCCCTAGAGAGGACTGAGGGTGGGACTGTTGTCACCTGGATTGTGAGATGAAGGTTGGAAAGTGTAATTTCGGTTTCTTAGCGTTGGGAGTATTCTTGGTCCTGCATGGGAGATGGGTGGTCAGAAATCCTGAAGCAAGGCCAGAGTCTGTGCCTGCTTAGGGTGGGGGGTGATGTTTTATCCAGGTCTGGTGAAGGTTGGGCTCCCTGGCAGCCAGGGCTGGACTCTCTCAGCTGATGCTCACTGACTCTCCTGCTCGTGGTACCCCACAGAGGAGGACTTTGACTGGCCAGCCGCCTGCATCGAGCTGGAACAGCACCTGGCCCGCTGGGCAGAGGATGGACAGAGAGCCGAGTACTTCTGCCTAGCTGATGGGCACTTTGCTTCCATTGATGCAGTGTTGCTGCTCCAGGTGAGGGGGGCTAGATGGGAGGCTCGGCAAGGGAAAGGTTGGGGAACCTCAATACCAGCTCCATGCTCTCCTTCCAGGGTGGGGCACTGTGTTTGTCAGGCTCCCGAGATCGCAACGTCAACCTGTGGGACCTACGACATCTAGGGAAGGAGCCTAATCGAGTTCTGGTGAAGGCCTTGGGAACCCAGGGCAATAGCACACACACGGTGAGCAGTCTCGGGGGGGCATGAAAGAGGCTGGGAGGGCTTCTGAAGGCCTTGACGTAGACCTTGATGGCTCAGGCCTATATTAGCAATACTCTCAGGGAGCTAAAGGCAGAGGATTGTTCTGATTTTGAAGCTAGCCTGTGCTACATAATGAGTTCCAGGCCAGCCTGAACTGTAGAGTTAGACTGTTTCAAAGAGCAGAAGAACAAAAACGAGCTATTGGAAACTGCAAGAGTGTAGCTCAGTGATAGAGCCCATGCTTAGATTGTGTTGAGGCTCTGGGTTCTAGTCTAGCACAAAGAGAGGGAGCGGTCTCTGTGGATACCACTGGGATGTGGTTTTTTTTTTTTTTTTTTTTTTGGTTTTTCGAGACAGGGTTTCTCTGTGGCTTTGGAGCCTACCCTGGAACTAGCTTTGTAGACCAGGCTGGTCTCGAACTCACAGAGATCCGCCTGCCTCTGCCTCCCGAGTGCTGGGATTAAAGGCGTGTGCCACCACCGCCCGGCTCGCTGGGATGTGTTCTTGTCCCCAAGCTCTGACAGGCAGCAGAGCAGACCCTACTCCCACACATTGGGATTTACTGTATTCTTCAGTTGTCCCTCCTCCTTCTGACCCCCTTTTTGTCATTTGTGGAGGAGTGGGAGTTATGTGTGTTACTGAAGTGTCGGTGGAAGTGGCATGAGAGAGGAAAAGCTGTTTGGCTTTGAGTGAATCTGTTCATCTCTTGGATCCTTCTCTGCAAAAGCAGGAAGGTCCAGACTTCCTCTTGGGTTCTGGGGAGGAGGAGACACGAGCTGTTACATAGCTCCTAAAGCGAGTTGTCTTGTGTGACTGTTGTGCCTGCTCCCACAGGGCTGGGTGTGGTCGCTAGCAGCACAGGACCACCGTGTGTGCTCCGGCTCTTGGGACAGCACTGTGAAGCTGTGGGACATGGCAGCTGATGGGCAGCAGTTTGGCGAGATCAAGTGTGAGGGGGCCTGGGCAGGGGGCCTGGGTGGGTAGGGCCCTGCCCAAGCCATCACCCAGCCTTGTGTGCCATGTGTCCCCAGGGGCAAGGCGGCAGTGCTGTGCCTCTCCTACCAACCTGACATCCTCGTGACTGGTACCTATGACAAGAAGGTGACCACCTATGATCCCAGAGGTGAGATTCCAATTCCTATGCTTATAAGGCAAAGGGAAGCAGATCTTTGTAAGTTCAAGACCAGTGTGGTCCACACAGTAAGTTCCAGGCCAATTAGGGCTACACAGTGAGAACCTGGCTCAGAAACAAAATAACAGAAACACAAAACAATAGGAAAGAACACTGAGGTTGGGTTGGGGGGCAGGGGCTGGAGAGATGGCTCAGCAATTAAGAGCACTGGCTGCTTTTCCAGAGGACTTGGATTGGGTTGGGAGGTACCCACATGGTAGCTAGCAACCACCTGTAATTCCAATTTAAGAGGATCCATTGCCTTCTTCTGGCCTCCATGGGCAATGTATGCATGCCATGCACAGATACATGTAGGCAAAACACCTATATACGTAAGATAGAAAAGGAGTCTCAAAAATTCAAACATTGAATCACGTGATCAGAGAACACTGGTGGATGACATAAGCCTGTCTGCACTGTGAGTCTTTCCTGTGCTTCTGTCTACGCTGTTCCCCTTGCGGAGACTGAACCTGGTGCCTCCCGCATGCTAGACAGATGCTTTGTCCCTTTCACTTTGCTCATTTTGAGATAGACTCTCACTGTTGCCCAGGCTACCCTCAAACTCACTCTGTATCTTAGGCTGGCCTCCACCTATATTCAGCTTCCTGTCTCTGCCTGTGGGCTCCTGAGTAGCTGGAATTACAGGATTGCACCATGAGGCCTGGCTGATGATTAATCGGCCCCTTCCCCCATCCTGGGATGGAAACCATTGCCTGTGCTTAGGCTATTGCTTAGCCGCTGAGCTCTAGCCCCACCCCAGCCATGACTGAGTCATCTTACTCCATTAGACTGAAGGGATCCTGAGATGGACTTAGGTTTGGGTGGAGTGAAGTGCTTGGCTATGTGTTGGGAGATACTGGTGGGGTAGGAAGGGAAGGTGGCGTGGAGGTAGGGACCAGGAGAGGACAAAAGCCTGTGGGTCCTGGATCCAGATGGGGTAGGAGGGGAGAGGAGTGACCAGGTGAGAAGCCCAGCCATCAGAAGTTTTCCTAGGTGACACGGTAGCCCAGATCCCCAGGTGGGCCTGGGTCTCTGATACCCTCCATCCTCCCCGGCCCGTATTCCCACTCCAGCTGGCTTGGCTCTGGTGAAGAGCCGGAGGCTGCATTCGAGTGCTGTGCTAGCGGTGCTGGCAGATGACAGGCATATCATCTCAGGCAGTGAGGACCACAGTCTTGTGGTATTTGATCGCCGAGCCAACAGAGTCCTGCAGCGGCTGCAGGTGGGTTGCCCTTCCCAGTGATTCTGAGGAGGACTGTAGGTAGCCCAGCTCGTCATTCCTGAGCTGCTCTATGCCTTGTCCTTCGCACAGCTGGACTCCTATTTGCTCTGCATGTCCTACCAGGAGCCCCAGCTCTGGGCGGGTGACAACCAGGGCCTGATGCACGTCTTCGCCAACCGAGATGGTTGCTTCCAGCTTGTCCGGGTCAGCTAGGACTCCTGTCTGTACCTCCCCGGTGACTTCTTGTGTGTAGAGGGCTAACCACGGGGAAACTCTGCCTGAGTGTCACCCATCCTTTCTTCCCTAGTCCTTTGATGTGGGTCACCAGTCTCAGATCACAGGGATCAAGCACTCGCTGGGGACTTTGTATACAACATCTACTGACAAGACCATTCGGGTGAGGACACTGACCCATGCAGACCCCCAGCGCTGGCCAGGGCACATATCCTGACCTCTGCCCCTTACCCTTCCCAGGTTCACGTGCCCACAGACCCACCTAGGACCATCTGTACCAGAAGCCACCACAATGTATTGAATGGGGTAAGGTCCTGCCCCATATAGCCTGTTGGCCTGCCAAGAGCCCATGCCATCCCCTAATTCCACTGCCACTGCTCCCCAGATCTGTGCTGAGGGCAACGTGGTGGTGGCTGCCTCTGGTGGCCTGTCACTGGAGGTCTGGAGGCTGCTGGCCTAAACAGCTGGACATGGCTGCGATGGATGTTGGTATACACTGCCTGCTGAGGCTGCCCTAGGCCTCAGCTCTGGAGAACCTTCCTACAATTGGTGCTGCTTCTGCCCTGCTCCACAGGCCTGGGGCATAAGAAGCCCAGGGCTGGGCCCACGCCTATGCCTGTGGAGGTGACATTCTAGTTTTAGCCACCCAGGGGGCTATTCCCTACCTTCTACCCCTGGTTGTTTTGTTTTATTTGTTGAGGCGGTCTCCATGGAATCCAGGCTGGCCTCACACTTACTATGTATTTGAGCCAAGCCTTGAATGCCTGGTCCTCCTGCTTCAGTCTCCAAGTGTTGGGATAATGGGTACACCGCCACCCTGGGTGATCCCTATTTTGTTAGGTTGGGTGCCTCTTTCCCACAGGAGAGTGAAGAAGGAATAAATGACCTACTGTGCAATTGTTGGGAACTGGAGTGTGAGCTTTCTGTGACCACGCATCTGTGACTGAGGGGGAAGGGTAGCATGTGAGGGCTGGGGCGCCTCCTGCTCTGTGTGTAGCACTCGAGGACCACGGACACTTGGTCTGACATAGCTTAGTGAGGTGAGTGTGGGCTGTGTGGCATGTAGACTCTGACTCAAATTCCCAGGATAGGTCTGTGTGGAGGAAGCAGACAGACACCTACCCCGTCACCCTGTAGGTATGTGGCACAGGGCCACAGTGTAGGTCTCTTCATGCAGGGCTCTAGGCACGCAGGTATGTATGGCTGTGACTGTGGACATGGGCATAGAAGGAAGCCTCAGAGGTGTGCACTGATCCCCAAAAGCTGTGGTACCCCTCAGCCTCCCACAGCAGCACACACAAGTTGTAACACAGGAGCAGTCATGTTTATTGAGGCCTTCCTGTGGTATCCAGGGTCATAGGAGTAGCATTATCGTGGGTTCATAGGATAGCACAGGGCTTCTTTTCCTTGAAGGGGTTGGTGGCAGCGGGGATGCCCACAAGGAAGGGGTCGCTCTTGGCCTGCTCTGTGCAGAACTGCAGCAGGTCTGTGGCTGCCTTAGACACCTGCAAACCAACCACGTCAGCCACATCTGCACATCTGGGTGTGCACTTGCTCCCTTGCCCAGCTGTGCCCACTGCACACCTGCCCAACCCTCACCTTTATGCGGTTGATGCCTGCCTCCATCCGCAGCTGCTCCACTGCCCGGCGGGCCTGTCCGATGTCACTGCCAGTGGCCACCTTGCTGGACATCTGGGAGAAGGTGAGCAGTGCTCTGCAAGCCTGAGCTTCCAAGCTTCTGCAGCTCCTCCTGGGTCCCCCACGTTCAGCTACCTCAGCTGAAGACTCCCAAACAGGCTCGGCTGCCTGCTCCAGCGTTGGCTACCCCACTCTGGCTCTCTCAATACTGGCCTCAATACTTCAACCCCCCACCTTCCCAGTCCCTGCAGAGACTTTGAAGCCAGGACCCAGTGAAATGTCACCAGCAACAGCAGCAGCAGCTGCTGTGACAGAAGGGGTCAGTTCCCCAGGAGGCCCAGTGGCTGCTTTGGTGTCACATGTTTCTTGGATCCCCTGGGGGACTGGGCAGCTTGGTTGCAGGCCCGAAGGATGTGGGACTCTGACTTGCTGAATATCTGTGCTCTGTGTACCCGAACTCCAAACTGTCTTTTTCATAACTCCCCCACCTCATTTAAATTTTTTTTTTATTATTTTGATGGGGTTTTGAGCCCAGGCTGACCTTGCCTTCACGCATGACATCACTCTTGTGTTATATCTCTTAACATGTTCATCCCCAGACCTGCATCCCAGCTGCTCAGACACCCATCTCCAAGGCCTTTATCCCTCCATATCTAACTGCCTCAGGTACCATCAGATCAGCCTTTTGTTTTTGTTTGTATTTTCATTCTTTTTTTTTTTTTTTTTTTTTTTTTGAGACAGGACTTCTCTGTGTAGTCCTGGCCACCCTGGAACCCACTCTGTAGACCAGGCTGGCCTTGAACTCAGAGATCCACTTGCCCTGCCTTCCTGGGCTTTAAGGTGCGCACCACCACCTCCCAGCCATATCAACCTCTAAGTGAAGTTCTGTCTGGTTCCTGCTCTTGTTCATGCCACCTGTCTTCCCCCCTGACTCACTGCCTGCACCAGATAGTCTCCATGTCCTTTGCCAGCTCTTCTCTCCCCTGCCCTGGCTGTTTTGGGCATGGTGGTGCACGCCTGTGATCCTGCCACTCAGGAGGCTGGCTTGGGCTACATAGTAAGACCCCATCTCAAACAAAAACAATCGGGGGTCGGGGTGGCTGGCACCATGTATATTCCAAGCTACTCTACGGCTGAGGTGGGAAGATTGCTTACTTGGAGCCAGGAGCTAGAAAGCAGCCTGGGCCATAGAAGGACCCTGCAAGAAAATCAAGAAACTGCTCTCCACCTGCTTTGCAGCTCTTGCAGTAAACTCATCCTCTGCATGGTCCACAGGGTGCTGCTGTCCGTCTTCTCTTGTTATTTATATGATTGACACCATCATTGTCATTCATTTTTCTCTCCTAGGCTTCCTCTGCCTCATCCCCTTGAGTAGCTGGGACTGTAGATACTCCTGCCACACCCAGCCTCGTATTCTTGCCCCTTATCCCTCAGGGATCACCCTGACACTGCTGTGCTGATTCCTTCCTTCGTTCATTCACTCAGCAGTGTCTTAGCCTTGAGCTGCTATAACAAATGCCATGGACTGAACTGGATAAACAACGGGAATTGCTGACTGGGTAGCTGGTGGTCAGAGTGCTGCTTCTGGTGTCTCTAGAAACTGTTTCATCAACTTCTCTTTAAAAATTATTTTAAAATTGCCTTCATTGTCCCAGCACTCAGGAGGTAGAAGCAGGCTGGTTTCTATGAGTTGAGGCCAACCAGGTCTACATGGTAAGTTCCAGGCCAGTCAGAGTTACATGGTAAGACTATCACAGAAGTATTTTGTGTGTGTTGGGGGAAGGGAGGTGCATGTGGAGGTCACAGGACAGCTTTTTGGAGTCCATTTTCTTCTACCATGTTGGTCCTGGGGACTGAACTCGGGTAGCCAGCAAGTCACGGTCTGGGTCAGCTTCTTGCTGTGTCCTCACCTGCTCTTTCCTCTGCATGCAAATCACCAGGGCCTCTGTTTATCTGAGCATTAACATCTGAGGTTGTTTGTGTGTGCTGTCGGCCAGAGCACAACCTCGGATGTCATTTCTCAGGACACATCCACCTGGCCCCTAACCTTTTATTTTGTGCATGTATGAGCATCTGCATGCACGGCATGCTTGCAGATGGAGGTCAGAAGATAATTTACTGGAGTCTGAGGCTTTTACCCTATGCCTTTGGTCACTGAGCCCGAGCCATCCCGCAACCCTGTCTACTTCTCCAGGGCTGGAATTACTGCCACTGCCCTCTCAGACATTTTTTCTATCTTTTTAAATTTGGGTTCTGGGAATTGGAATTGAACACACACATCTAATCTACACTCTTGCAAAGCAAGGGCTTCACTGGCAGTGATTTCCCTCGCCATACCATCCCCTTTTGTTGAGACAGGGTCTCTATAGTTCAGGCTGGCCTGAAACTTGAGATTCTCCGGCTTCCACCTCCTGACTGCAGGCTGGTGTGTACCCCGAGCTTGGCTTAATCAGTTTTCTGTTTCATCGTTCAGACTACGGACATGAGGAGAGCAGAGGTCTTGTTTGTTTAGAGCAGAGAGCACTATTTAGTGCAGACTACACAAATTGTAGAATTAATATTAATAGGTGCTTCTTGGAGTAAAAAGATGGCAGTCATCCTTGCCTCCCATAAGAGGCCCATGATCCAGTGGAAGGTGACATCTTAGGCTGGCAGGGAAGAGGAATCAAGGAAGTTTGTGGAGACTGTGGGAGGCACCAAAAGGAATCACTATTCTATTTGACAAGAGGCTGCAACTAAGTTTGCCTGATGCCCTAAATCCTGTTCAAGGGCTCTATCTTAGGAACAGTCATCTCGCTCACAGGGGGCAGGAATATTTGGACAGACAACTTTCAAACTAGGCACTTTCATCCGCTTGAAGCTGAGTTCGACGACAGGAAAAAAGGCTCCCGGCGCCGGTGTACGGAACACAGGAGTAAAATGGCCGCTACCAGGACTGCAGGCGCTATCCTGGGTCATGTGACTAAATAGCTTCCGGTTCCAACCCCGCCCTCCTCCACCCCGGGCTCTAGAGTCCCATTTCCTGGGCTCAGGCCGACCACGCGGAGAAATTCTGCGCTTCCCAGCACCCGGGCGGCTGTGACCCGAGAACGGCCGCGGGTGCATGGAGGGGACCTCGCAGGGGGCGGCGCCCGCCGCGGCGCTGGCCGCCGTGCTCAAGCACAGCTCGGCCTTGCCGCCCGAGAGCGCCAAGGTGCAAGGTTACGACTTCAACCGCGGCGTAGATTACCAGGCACTTCTGGAGGCCTTCGGCACCACCGGCTTCCAGGCTACCAACTTTGGACGCGCGGTGCAGCAAGTCAACGCCATGGTGAGGCGCAGGGCGGCCCCGAAGCGGGACGGGAGGGCGGGACCGCGCCACGCGGCTCCGCGTGTGAGTGGCTGGGCGGGGCGGAGTCCTGGTAAATTGGCAGTCTGGGATTGGGGGAGTTTGGGGTTAAAAGAAGGACATTGTAGGAGGAGCTTAAGGTCGGGAGAGCCTTGGAGTAGCTTCTCGGCATTGGAAGGGGGCTTGAAAAGAAGATGCTGTGTGATTCCTAAAAGGGGACAAACCCTAAGTGACAGACCTGAACCGGGAAAGCGGGGAGTAGGGTCCGCGCAGGGGTTGTGTTTTCGTTTCGAAATAGTCCCAGTATTCCTGAGTACAGTCAGACTCTGGAGTCCAGTCCACCTGGGGTTCCTCGACTGAGGGTCGGAGTCAGTGCAACTTTCCGGTGCCCCCATGCGCAGATTGAGAAGAAGCTGGAGCCGCTACCAGAAGATGAAGACCATCACGAAGATCTAACGCAGAGCCTCCGCCCACTCACTGGCTGCACCATTTTCTTGGGCTACACATCCAACCTCATCAGTTCGGGCATCCGGGAGACCATTCGCTACCTCGTGCAGCACAACATGGTGGGTCGATGTTAGGTCTGTGGTCTCAACCTCCCTGGGCAAGTGGATAATAAAACTGCTGTTCATTTAAGAGACATGAAGAAGGTTCTGAAGAGGCTCAGAAGTTAAGAGTATTTGCTGCTCTTGTGGAAGACCTGGGTTTGGTTCCCAGCACCCATGTGGTGGTTCATAGATGTCTGTAACTCCATTTCCAGGGATGTACACATAAAAAAAAAGTAATTTCAAAAAAGGATGCGAGGAGATGGGTTTTTGTTTTTGAACATGCTGGCAGTTCTTATTCCTTAGCCTCCTGAGTGCTGGGATCACAGGAGTGTGCCACATTTTCTGGCTACAGGTCTGCTTTAAGCAGAGGAACAGGCTTGCGCTGTTTTGTTGCACGCTTGTGTCGGGATGAGTACGGGCTGATGTCAGGAGTGCGGCTTAGAAGGAGGCGAGCCTTGTTTTCTGTGCCTGTAGGTGGATGTGTTGGTGACGACTGCTGGAGGCGTGGAAGAAGATATCATCAAGTGCCTGGCACCCACTTACCTTGGCGAGTTCAGCCTCAGTGGGAAGGAGCTCCGGGAGAATGGTATCAACAGGTGGGGCCCCGAGTAGCAGTGGGGCAGGGGACCTGGGCCGAGGGTCTTGGTGACTGATGCCCATGTGCCTCCCATCCCCAGGATTGGGAACCTGCTGGTTCCAAACGATAATTACTGCAAGTTTGAGGACTGGCTCATGCCCATTCTGGACCAGATGGTGCTGGAACAGAACACAGAGGTAGGGCTGGAAGGGTTCAGGAGGACCTGGTTAGTGGAGTCAGAAGATGTTCGGGCTAATACTGATGTTCTTCCTTTAGGGTGTGAAGTGGACACCTTCCAAGATGATCTCCCGACTTGGCAAGGAGATCAACAACCCAGAGTCTGTGTATTATTGGGCTTATAAGGTGAGTTGGTGGGGACGAATCCCTAGGCTTTGGCATGTGCTGACTTGTTTTGTCTTTGCATCTACCAGGGAGTCTCTGTAATTATTCTTAGTTTTCCAGACTTAGATGAGGCGTGTCAAACCCCGAGAGGCTAGGTCATCTGTTGAATGAAGGGCTCTATTTCCTAGTTATGCCCTACACTATTGGGGCTCCTTAGCTGTAGTGCTTAAGAACTCAGTGGGGCCTGAACCAGGGTACCATGCTCCTAAAGACAGTAGCACTCAAGAGTCTGGAAAATGGTGAACCAAGTGGCTCAGTGTGCCAGACACCTACTTAGAGGTGTGCATGGTTTTCCTCTTATCTGCCTCATGTCCACCAGAGAAATAAGCAGCCTGTTCAGGGAGGGAGGATGCCACTGGGTTGGGGACCAGAGTTTTTCTGGGCTCTGAGCTGTAGCTGCTGACTGGTCCTGTGTCCACACCAGAACCACATTCCTGTGCTGAGCCCTGCGCTCACAGATGGCTCACTGGGTGACATGATCTTCTTCCATTCCTACAAAAACCCAGGCTTAGTTTTGGACATCGTTGAAGGTGAGGTGCTCGGGCCCTGGGAGAAGAGGGAGGAGGGTGAACTGAGGCCAGTGCCTGACCTCAGCCCTCCCTCTCAGACCTACGACTCATCAACATGCAGGCCATTTTCGCCAAGCGCTCCGGCATGATCATCCTGGGTGGAGGTATGGTGAAGCACCACATCGCCAATGCTAACCTCATGGTGAGTGGGGTGGCCCTTGGCATACAGCGTGCCAGGCGTGGACTACAGCAGTGGACTAGATGGGTCGGAATCCCTTCCTCTGTGCAGTTAGTTGGAGTGAGGCAGTCAGACAGCAAGAAGTGACATGCATGTTATATGGCAATAATTGTAAGGACATAAGTGCTATCAGTCAGGCAAGGTGACTATTCCCAGCTACTTGGTAGACTGAGGCAGGGAGATAGCCTGTACACAGTTCAGGACTATCCTAGAATACTATAATGTGAAAGGAATGCTGTTTAATAAAGGGAGGGTTGGAAAAGGCTTCTGGGAAATGTGACCGTGAGCAGACATTTTTTAGAGGTACCCCCCACAGGCCTTATGCTATGGGAAGAACATTCCCATTGGGTGACTAGCCAGTGCAAAGGCCCTGAGGCACCTGAAGTAGCCAAGGAGCAGCTGATAGTGGAGCTGTGAAGACCTGGAGGTTACACCGCAGAACTAGCAGGGCCTGTGGAGGATTTTGAACCCTGTCCTGTGAGGCTGGTGATGCCAGGACTCGGGAGCTTGCAGAGACCTCTGGGTCTGAGGCAGAGCAGTGCGGGAACAGGTTTGCTTTTCTTATATGGTTGGTTGCAGCAGGAGCTACTGCTGAGCATAGGGTGTTGGCTACAACTCGGCAGTCCTCTGTGTTCTTTCTTTGAGACTGGCCTCCTTGTTGCCCAGGCTGGTCTTGACTCCCTGGATCAAGGATCCTCTTGCCTTGCCCTGACAAGTAGCTGGAACCACAAGCCCGTGTCAGTACAGCTGGCTCGAATGTCCTTAACTAAAATGCTTGGTAACACCAGTGTGTTGGATTAGTGTTTTGTTTTTTTTATATTTAAAATTTGAGATATTTACATACATATTTTGGGGCAGAAACCTAGAAGGAAATCATGTCCAGAATTTAAATGTGAATGAATATAGCTTGAAGGTAATTTCATACGCTATTTTTTTTAAAGATTTATTTATTTATTTATTATGTATACACCACACCAGATCTCATTATAGATGGCTGTGAGCCACCATGTGGTTGCTGGGAATTGAACTCAGGACCTCTGGAAGAGCAGTCAGTACTCTTAACCTCTGAGCCATCTCTCCAGCCCTTATACGCTATTTTTAAAGATGGTTTTATTTTTAATTATGTGATACATGTGTGCCTATGTGTACCTCTGAGTAAAGTGTAGGTGCCCACGGGAGTCCCCAGGAGGGACTGGATCATCCATCTGGAGCTGACTTACATATGGTTGTGAGCCACCAGACATGAATATGGGAATTGAATTCAGGTCCTCTGTCAGAGCATGAAACGCCCTACTTGCTGAGCCATCTCTCCAGCCCTGTACAGATAGTATTCTTATTTTGCCTGTAGCTATCTGACTTGTCACATGGGTCTCAGAAGTGGTACATTTTAGCTTATGGAGGAAGAGCTTGTATGTAGAGGTGGTTGTACTGGAAACCTGCACAGTCACTTCAGGCACTGAAGATGGCCCTTTTTTTTTTTTTTTTTTTTTTTTTTTTGTTTTTTGAGACAGGGTTTCTCTGTGGTTTTGGAGTCTGTCCTGGAACTATCTCTTGTAGACCAGGCTGGTCTCGAACTCAGATCCACCTGCCTCTGCCTCCCGAGTGCTGGGATTAAAGGCGTGCGCCACCACCGCCCGGCAAGATGGCCCTTCTTAGAAGCTCTCAAAGCCTTCCTGTGTCATACCCCAGCCTTCTCCCTGGCTCTGGCTTCTGACCAGGTTCTCCTCTGCCCACAGCGGAATGGGGCTGACTATGCTGTCTACATCAACACAGCCCAGGAGTTTGATGGTTCAGACTCAGGAGCCCGGCCAGATGAGGCTGTCTCTTGGGGCAAGATCCGGATGGATGCTCAGCCAGTAAAGGTAGAAGCTGACTGCCTAGGGTGAGTCTATGGGCTATGGCCATGGGTTCCATGGCTCACACAGCTTCTCTGCAGGTCTATGCTGATGCTTCTCTGGTCTTCCCCCTGCTGGTCGCTAAGACTTTTGCCCAAAAGGCAGATGCCTTCACAACTGAGAAGAATGAGGACTAAGAAGATTGGTGAAGATTGGGGGTATTTGCTATTCCTTTATTAACTTTATACACCAGCCCCTCCCTGGGCCCACCTACTCCTTGATCAGCAGCGTCTTCAGAATAAATGGTCTTTGTTAGGTCTTGTGAGTTGGTCTGGGTCCTTTGGCTTGGTGCCAGATCCCCAAGCCTCAGCCTGCTCCACCCTCTGCCTCATAGGTCTCTTCTTGCCAGTATTGGATGCTGCCCCCCATGGCTGTCAGCAGGCGGGGTTCCGTGGGATGGTAAGCCAATGATTGTACCACACTAGAACCCACGGGCAGGGCCAGTGCCAGGGCACCCTAAGGAATGAATGTTGGGAAACAATTACTAGTGATCAGGCTGTCTCCTTGAGATCCAGCCTGAAGTCCTCAGTCACCTTTTCCCTTACTTCTTTTGGTGGTGCTGAGAATGCCAGGCAAATCTTGCCACTGAGCCACACCCTTAATCCTGGAGGCTTCTAACCTTGGACATAGAAAGGCCCTGGCCTTGTGACCCCCACCTTACTGTTTCTTCCTAGTCTGAGTGTTCCTGGTACCTTGAGGGGTGCTAGGGATTTGAGGCTTGCACATGCTAGGCAAGTGCTTAACACTGTTCCACCACCAGCCTCTAGTGGCTTCTCAAACACTGCAGATGTCAGCTGGGTGATGGTGCACGCCTTTTAATCCCAGCACTCAGGAGGTATAAGCAGGTGGATCTCATGAGTTTGAGGCCAGCCTGGTCTACAGAGCTAGTTCCAGGACAGCCAGGGCTACACAGAGAAACCCGGTCTTGAAAAACAAAACAGTACAGATGTCATCTGGCCAAACTCCACCTCCAAGTGCTAATTATCTTGGAAGTCTCACTTACCTTCCTTTTTAATTTTTTTTCTTTTTTTGCTGGGCAATGGTGGCACACGCCTTTAATCCTAGCCCTTGGGAGGCAGAGGCAGGCAGATCTTTGTGAGTTCGAGGCTAGTTGGTCTACAGAGCGAGTTCCAGGACTGGCTCTATAGCTACTGAGAAACCCTGTCTCGAAAAACCAAACCAAACCAAAACAAAACAAAATTGTTATTACTATTTTTTTTTTTTACAAAGGGCTCAATAATCCAGGCTGACCTCAAATTTGCAGCAAACCGCCCCCCCCTCGCGACAGGGTTTCTCTGTTTAACAGCTTTGGCTGTCCTAGAACTCATGAGATCCATCTGCCTATGGCTCCTGAGTGCTGGGATTTAGGGCGTGTGCCACCACTGCCTGGCTCAGCAAACCCTTCTTTATTTGCAATACAGTGCTGAGATAATAGGCTTGGAATTCAGTGTTTTCCTGTCATAGCCGCCCCACTTGCTGGGATTACACACGTACTACATGCCCAGCCTCCAGTTTCCTTTCAGGGGACGCTCGGCACTGTCCTTAGACTCGAGGCACCTGTTCTGCTCTCGTAGCCACCACTTGCTTCAGGCATGTCTTGTTCTGAGTTTCATGGTTCCCTGACACTCTGGGTACTAACAGGTCTACTTGGCAGACCCAGCGATTGTCGTTTCCCTCGCCACCCCATAGTTACCTTAACAATATCTTTTTTTTTTTTTCAAGACAGGGTTTCTCTGTGGCTTTGGAGCCTGTCCTGGAACTAGCTCTTGTAGACCAGGCTGGTCTTGAACTCACAGAGATCCGCCTGCCTCTGCCTCCCAAGTGCTGGGATTAAAGGCGCGTGCCACCACCGCCCGGCTAACAATATCTTTTTGTGTGCATTTCAAGGTGAATTTTCTTCAGGAGAGTTGACAGACCATCCTTAGTTCCCAAAGCAAGAGCTGGTCTCAAGGATCTCCTATTTTTTCCAGTTCTTTTACCGAGCCTAATTCTGTTGGCTGTCCCCAGCACTGATACCTCCTTCCTGGAGGCCCTAGAACCTTGACCTCACTAAGCCAATGGTCCATCTCCCACCTGGGGCATGTCAGGATCTGGGGTTTAAAGCCATATGGAACCCATATGCAGATCAGGGTTTCTGGGTGATGTAAGCCCAGAATCAGTGGCTGGCACTGGCTCCTCGCTCTTGGCATTTACAGCCCTGTCTGACCTGGAACCAGCTACAGCCAGCACCTTCTCCAGGTCCTTTAGCATATGCTGTTTCCCTTCTTAAAATATGCTTCCTGCTTTTCCTTCTAGTTCCAGCTTGGGAGGCTGAGGCAGGATGAATCAGAGTCAGACACACTCCCACCTCTACCCGCCTCCTACAGGTCCCAGCTCAAATACCCAACATTGTTCTTTTTTAGGCCTGGGAGTGGTTGAGGTAAACACACAGCTGATGCCCTGGCAAGGAGTCAAAGGGGAAGGCTTACCTCTACCAGGTCCCAGAAGAACACCTTCCCATCCTCAGAGCAGCTGACCACGTGTGTGTCACGTTCACTCAGGCAGCAGTCCAGCTTGTACTGCTGGTTCTTATGGCCAACATACCTAGCAGTGAGGGTGGGTAGAATCAGGCTTGTTCCTCTTAGCCTCAGAAGGATGGGGAGGGGGAGGCCAACCGTGGAGACTCACTCGCCCAGCAGCTCCCCTGTGTCTTTATCTAGAAGCCGCAAAGTAGAGTCCAGACTGGATATCAAAATGCACTGCCCGTCGCGGCTGAAGCAGGTACAGGTGATGGGGCCTGGGAGAGAGTGTGACAGGCAGGTGAATCCGGGTACTCTTGCCTGCCCCATCTTCTGTCTTGACTGTCCCACTGGGACCCAGGGCCACACTCACTGCCCACGTAGTCTGAGAAGAGCTGCCCCATTCTTAGGTCATAGCGCCTCACTCGGCCATCCACGGAGCTGCAAGAAAAGGTAGATCCAGCCTGAAGCATTGCAGTCTTCTACTCCAGGGGCAGCCTGTGCCCCTACGCATTCCTGGGCATTTAGGAAAGTGTGAGTAAGGAAAAGGTGCTCTTCTGCTTTGTGACTCAGGTCCAGGGGACAACTTGGTCCCACTCAAAAACCATGCCCTCTTTTCCAAATCCTCGGAGCTTTCCAGTTCCTGACTGGCACAGTAGTCAACCCTACCTGTCTCTGGGTTCTACATCTGCACATTTGACCAACTGCGGAACTATATTTTATAAGGTTATCATTATCTGTTTTCTCAAGACAGAGTTTCTCTGTAAAGCCCTGGATGTCCTGGAACTTGCTCTGTAGGCCAGGCTGGCTTCGTGTCACACACAGGCCTTGTGTTCCATCCTAGCACAGCAAACACAAACCAGAATCACGTATCAGAGTGTGCAGACTCTGCAAGCTATTTTATAGAGGGCTGGACAGCTTAAAATGTGCTCTCCCTGGGAGGTCCTGAAATCAGCCTACTAGTTACCAAAGCACTGTTCTCAGGAGGTGACTCCACCCCTCCTGCTCCACTACCATCCTATTCTTACACGGATGAAGGGTTTGCCGGTAATCTTCCATCCTTAGTGCCGAAACCCACTAAGCAGCTTTCATCCCTTCTGAGACAGGAACTCAGGCCTGGATGGTCTCCTTTCACTGTGCTAAGGCTGTCCTTGAACTCATGTGTCCTACCACACTTGGCTCACTGGGGAAACTTTCAGAGCACAGCCACTTCATGCCAGTATTTCCCTCAAAGAAACATGGCTTTTCACTACTCTCAGAAAAATAAATGTTCAAATGCCTCCTGCAGCCCTTTGGACCCAGTTCCTTCCATTCCTTCAGCCTCTCCCGCCTGTTGCACGTATTCATCATCTTGGCACATGTGCTTGCTCTCTCTCCGGCTTGCCACTAGATGGCTCTTAGCCACCCATGGTTGCTCATGCCAGGCCTTTACTATGAACAGTCTCACCACTTCTGCCACCTAAAGCTGCTGTCTCATGACTTCCTGTTCTTGCTGTGGTTAGGTCAGCTGCATTTCTGCATTCATTCATTCAGTCAGTCATTCAGTTATTTGCTTTTTGAGGAAGGGTTTCTCTGTAGGCCTGACTGTCCTGGAATTTGTTCTGTAGACCAGGCTGGTGTCAGAGGTCTACCTGCCTCTTCCTCCTAGTGCTGGGATCAAAGGTGTGAGCCACCACTGCTCAGCTCTAGGTAGGCTGGCATTTAACTCTTGGTCCCCTGCCCTCCTCTTCACTGCTGGGGAGGTGGATGTCCCCACACCTGCCACAGTTCGCACTTAGTAACTTTTGTCTTTGTGAAGCCCTAGCTTGCCTAGAACTTGTTATGTAGAACAGATTGAGCTGGAACTCGGAAATCTACCTGTCTCTACCTCCTAAGTACTGGGATTAAAGGCATGTGTCACCATGCCTGGCTCATGGTTGCATTTATTTATATTTTTATGAATTTTTTTGGATTATTTTTATCTCATATGTATGAATATTTTGTCTGCATGCATGTATGTATGTGCACCATGTGTGTCTGGTTTGCTGTTGAGGGCAAAATAGGCTGTCAGATTGCCTAGAACTGGAGTTTCAGCTGGATGTGTGCCACTATGTAGATGTGGGAAATCAAACTGGTTTTCTGCAAGAGCAACAAGTGCCCTAAACCACTGAACAATCCTTCCAGGCCCCACGGCTACATTTATTGACTGTCCTGCTAGGCAGTAGTACTGGGAACTGTAGCTCTTTGACTGGAAGAGCCTGCACAGTTCTCCCAGTAAGCAGCCTGTGCTGCACAAGGGAGATGGGGAGAGTAGGTAACAGCAGTGGTGGAAGTGGAAGGTGAAAGCAGCCAACCAGGCGTAGCCTACTAAAGTGTGCACTGGCACAATGTGGAGCCACCCACAACAAAGTTCTGTATCACCAAACTGAAGTTAAGTGATCTCTTTAGGCTGGGGAGAGGGCTCAGCAGGGGAAAAAGCAAGACTGATGATCTGAGTTTGATCTCTGGAACCCACATAATAGCCGGACAAGGTAGTGGGCATCTAAAATTCCAGCACTCTTATTGGGGAAATGGGAGGTGAGACAGAAGAATCTTCTTGGAAAGTCAAGGGCCAGCTAGCCTGGAGTACACAGTATGGTAGAAACAGCAAGAAAGATCCTGCCTCAATACACTGAAGGAGAGAACTGACTCTTTGTCCTCTGACCTTCACACATGCCTGTGCACACGCATACACGCACGCTCACACACTCAACTTAAAAGCCAAGGCGGTGGTGGTGCAC